CTCTCTCTCTCTCTCTCTCTCTCTCTCTCTCTCTCTCTCTTTCTCTCTCTCTCCTCTCTCTCTTTCCATTCTTCCCTCTGCAGCCCCACTCCACCACCTCTGCCTCCTTCTCTTTCTCCATCTCACTCTCTCTAGAAGAACAACCTGGCCCTGAAGAATCCATTAAGTCCAAACACTTGGCTTATAGTTCGTAACGTCCTTGGAATCTACTTCCACCTACAAAGCTGCTTTCTACTGCTTTGCCTCCACCTGACACGGACAGGTCTTTCACCCCCTCGGCCTTTTGTCCTGGTGGCTACAGATCACAGCCCAGTAGGACGGGCCCATGAAAAAGCAGATCGAGGAGGAGGGTGAGAGAGGCAGTTGTAAGGAGTTGCAACCCTAGTCCTCTGTCTGGTTTTAATTAAAAAAGAATCCAAACAGCAGCAGGCTGGTCCCGGATAAGACTCCTGCACCTAGCTGTACCAAGACGAGGGTGAAAGGTTGTAAGAAAAGGATGCCCTGTCCAGCTCTGCACTGTATCAGCCCACACACGTCAGCACTGAAAGGAAATAAAATACACCAGTAACTCAGAAATACTTGCCAGTGAAGTGGGTATATCTACAAATCAACTCCCACTCAAAAATCCCCCTTTTTCTCCTGCTTCTGTAACTACAGTCAGTCTTGCCGGAACGTGGCAGAGCTGTGAAAAATTGCAAATTGAAAACTGGGAAAAGATAAAGGATAATGTGAAATGCGGAACGCGGACTGTGTTTCAGCCATTGAGAAGTGAGGATGGGGCTGAGCTGGGCCAGATAACAACGAAAAAAAGAAACACAGGAGCAATGAGATCACAGGGGCTTCAGGAGAGGAGTATTTGATATCAAGGGATTGAGAGAGAACTTGGAAAAAAATCACTGAGGCCTTCAGATAATTTTGCAAAACTGACCATTTCTAGGAAAGTGCTGAAAAATTAAATGTGAATGAAGGCTGTGGTATTACACTTTAGTGACCATAATTATTCTACAGTAACCATGCCAAAAAAGTCCATACAACTCAGTCATTATTTTAAGAATGAGTATATAGTAAAATAACCTGAATTTTATAAGCAAAATATAATTTAAAGATAATTGCTAGCTTAATTTTTCAGGACATGGTCTAGTCAAACTTTTCTCCAATATGAACTATGAAATTGTGCACATCATTTAAAATGAATTCAGGGTCAGTGACCTTTTTGTGGTATCAATTTTTCTCAGATAAAACTATCTACCTGTCTCAGGAAAGGACCTCAGGGATCCCTAGTCCCATTCCCTCACTTTACAGAGAAAGAAACCAGAGCCCATAGGATGAGATGACTCGCCCAAGGTCAAGAGGACTCATGTCAAGGGCAAAGCTGTCGATCAGCCCATTGGCTTCGGGCTTAGGACTCTCTCTTCACATACTCAATTTCTAGTCTAGGCTCATTTCCGCATTTGAGACTAACCTGCAAAATACATAAAAACAGAAGGTTTCTTACTTTATAATCATGTTACACTTCCCAGGGTGAATCCTGAATCAGCAGTTTCTACATCCACTTTTGGAATCTCTTCTAATTTCAAATGTAGCATTCCAGAGAGAAAAGATGAAAAAATACGTGATCAAAACATCATCTTCTGAAGTCATAACAATCAACTATATTTTGTTTAAATTTTATCCTTTGAAAACAATATAGTCACTTTTGAAAGAGATAGCTATTGTCTGCAAATGCCATTTGGCAAAGTTCATGAAAATTGGAGTTTTTTGTTCATCTGTAAAATAAAAAAGTGTCAGAAATAAAAAAAAATATCTATATATGACTTTTGTAACACATTAACAAAATGTGGGGCATAAAGGTGTTTCCTTACTAATAAACTATTAACAGCAAACTTATCTATTTAAGGATATGCAGGCTCTGCAGTCATATAAACATAGTCATTTTATTTTGAAATTTAAATAAAATACAGGCATTTCTTTTTCGGATATCCTTTTATCTTATTTAGTCAATACTTAATATTGTGGGGAAAGCTCCTGGCAGATATTCTGAAGCTGAATTGTATTTAGTAATTCCCTTTTCCCCTATATACGTGTTTGGTTTTGTTTTAGACAATGTTATTTGCTCCGTCTTCTATCACCCCTAGAAATTTGCACATGCTTCTATCATATCACTCACCAGGTAATATAGTTATTCAATCACATACACTTTTCTCACTACTCTACAAAAGATTTAAGGATAGACATTTTGTTTTATTTAGTTAAGTATCAATGTAGCATAAATAACATCAGGCACATGCTAAGTTTTGAAGGAGCTAATACATCTTTTTTTCTCTTCTTTCTTTTTTAAAAAAATTTTAGCTCTCTCAAGCAGATAATCCCAACATGGAAACACAAGCCCTCCAGAATCTCCTAGCTGGCTTTCATTTGGGGTCTCCCTCTCCCTTTGTGGCACGGGAATCAGCAGGTTGCCCCATTAGAGGGGGAAAAAAATGTAAAAGCTGCTTTAAAGTTGTGTTTTCATTTTAAACTTCCAAAGGCTTTTGTTAAGGTCACTGATATGACTGCTTCTTATCATGGCTCCAATAAACATAGCATTTCTTTAATGCTTCTATTTTCCTGACTCAACTCCCATCCCTCCTTTCTAAATAGAGCTGGGAACCTTTAGAGATGCCACAACTGTAAAACTGGAAAGAAAAGCCATTTAAATTATAGGGAGCTATGATCCTAGGACTCACTTCATTTTTTATTATACACCTCTTTACTTTGAATAAGAAATCAGTATTTGAATTAAGTTTCTTGGTTTGTAAGCATTTTCCTGGCTGTCTAACCAGGGTAGATAACTTCTCTGAAACTTTGTTAATTAACGGCAATATCGAGGCTGCAGCAGTGTTAGCGTTATTAGGGGGTTAAGAGTGTTACAATGGGCCACACAGTCCCATGAGAGGTAGACTCAGATGGGAACTGGGCATTCTGTAGAATCTAGCAGTTCCCCGCAAAAATAATGGTTTTACACAGCTTTGAAAGACGTCACTTGCTAGTACAGTAATCTAAAGTCGAAATGGACTGCGCCACTCAGGAAATGTATCTTTTAAAATCATTACCGGGATATGCCCCAAAATGTAGTTTTGGAAGCAGGTCCAGCAATTATGCACAACTACCAAGGTTAGGGTAGGAATAGAAATTTAAAGGAAATGTAAATCTTTAGGGAAAGATGAACCTGTCAGGTGTTAGAAATACCAACAATGTTTCAAACACCATGCTAAATTACTGGGTCTAAAAATAACACAATGAGATATCACCTCATACCTGTTCCAATGGCTATCATAAACAAGACAAATAATAACAAATGTTGGAGAGTCTGTGGCAAAAAAGTAACCTTCATACACTGCTGGTGGCAATGTAAACTGGTACAGCCACTATGGAAAACAGTGTGGAGGTTTGTCAAAAAATTAAGAATAGAATTACCATATGACCCAGAAATCCCTCTCCTGAGTATCTACCCCCCAAAATCTGAAAAAAATTATCCATAAAGGTATATTATGTATTCTGATGTTCATTGCAGCATTATTCATGGTGGCCAAGACATGGAAATAACCAAAGTGTCCTTCGATAGGTGACTGTGGATAAAGAACATGTGGTATATATACACAACGGAATACTACTCAGCCATAAGAAAAGATGAAATAGTGCCATTTGCAACAACATAGACGGACCTTGAGATAATTATGCTAAGTGAAATAAGTCAGACAGAAAAAGTCGAGAACATTATGACTTCACTCATGTGTGGGATATAAAACTGAAAGCAACAAATGAACAAGACAAAGAAAGAAACAAACAAAAAGTCATAGACACAGACAACAGTTCAGTGCTTACCAGAGGGTAAGGGGGGAGGGGGGTGGTAGATGAGGGTAAACGGGGTCAAATACATGGTTATGGAAGAACTGACTCTGGGTGGTGAGCACACAGTGTGATATATAGAGGATGTATTACAGAATTGTACATCTGAAACCTATGTAATTTTACCAACCATTGTCACCCCAATACATTTAATTAAAAAAAAATACCGAAGATCAAGTCTTAACCCTCAAGGAGCTCCCAATCTGATTGGAGACATGTACGTTTACACACATGAACACGTAAGTTACACAATTCAGTTATGCATCAGGGTACCTTATCCCAGGTGCTCCCCCGCCCTCTCCCTCCACCTACAGGCAATACCGCCCTTGATAAGAAACTGCTCACAATGAACCCTTAGTCGCTTTAGGACCAATCATGCTATTTTCTTCCTCACAGTCTCCCTGTGCTCCCCACGATAGTTCCAAATAACTATGAATGTAGGAACTGCATACATTTTCCTCCCAACGTCCAAATAATCAGAGGCTCAGAGGCTGACAAACGATGCGCAGTACAATATCTGCCACGCGGTGAGGCTGCAGAATTGATTTATTCAATGTTGAATGAAAATAAATCCCATTACTGGCTTAAAAGATGTGATGAAATGTGATGAAAAGTCACAAAAGAGAATGGGTTTCTCAAGTATCAGATTCATTTTAGTATCATGTTCTCACCCTACCAAATAGTTAAATGAAGATAAATTTGTTGTTGCTAATTTAGGTGCTGGTTTCAGGGCAAACTGGGAAATGGCGCAAGACAGCAGAAGGCAAATACTTAGAATTAAAATGTTGAATAGGTGTGACTAT